GTACAATGATCTCCAGCAGTCCCAGCAGGATGAAAACACAGAGAGAGGACACAGGGCAGCAATTGCCCATGTCAGGGAACAGGAAAGCTGCCACTTTCACTCTGGTTTTATTGACTAGGATGCTTTGCATGTAACTAGCTCTGCATCCCCCTCTACTGGTGGCTCTTCTGAAAGATACTCTCAGAGTAAAGTGACGCTTACAACCACCCAGCGAATACTAATTATGCTAACTATTAATATTTGCTTTTTGCTCATTTACTTTCAACATGACAAAAGCGAGAGATCAGGAATGTCCACTTATTTTCATAAAAGTTAAAATAACACAAAATATTTGCACATTCTAAATGACTTGAGAGGATTAATTTCAAGCTTGGGGTTAAGCCCGCAAAAAGAAAACAACCCACGATAACAGTAGGTATGGTAGGAAAATGACACACCCTGTGACACTAGCATTACGCTTGACCTTAACAAAGGTTTTTGGGTTTTTTAAATGTTCACTTCCATGAGCTCCCCATTGTCTAAAATACCAAAGAGTGACAGTAAACTCTTCCCTTTCAAACTTACATTCTTCCCTTTCAAACTAGGACTCCACTGCTCTTTACTTACAACTTAGTGTAAGGGGTCATCCACTGGGTGTGTCCCGACTGAGATCTGGGGATTTAGAGGCTCGTCAAGTCTAACTTCAGATTCAGCTTGTTCACTTTTACTAAATGGACTACCTTGAAAACCTAGCAGCAGGTTAGGTTTTGAGATCAGAGATGACACATATAATAGCTCTGCCTCCTGACCATCACTTCAAGAAAATGAACAAGACCTAAGTTTGTTAACAGTGAGGTTTCCCCAATGGGAATCATGGAAAAACTATGCTGTCAGACTGTCAAACAGAAGCATCTCTATTTGATCTATAAATATCTAATAAAGATGTAAATTTAATGTGTCCTGTAGCAGGGTTGGCTACTCAAAATTTCTGTGTCTACTTATGTTTTAGGAATCTAAAACTGGAGATTATTAATCAGAATAATCACCCAAATATTGATTACAGCTTTTGCTAGTTCGATTGGCGTCTTTTATGCAGTAAAAATGTCAAATTGCCAATTTCATATAGGCTACTTTAAAAATCATTGGGTTCATTTGATCGAACACAACTTGCCGCAGTGGCCTTTACAAAGCACCGGCATTGTTGATTGCTGACTTTTTCTTTTTTCCCTCCTTTTTTTTATTTTTATTTTTTTACTACTAATTGCATTCAATTACTCCTGAAGTGTGCAATTAGCATCTGAGAGTGCAGACGGTGCCCGAGAGCTTATTTAGTCACATAAAGAAAACTGAGCTTAAGTTTTCCAGCCACCATTACGATGACTGGCTGTTTTTTTTATCAAATGCTTTAATTCCCCTCATCTGCAGTTAAAAAAGCTGCTACTTTCTCTCTTTTTTAAACAAGGTCAAATATGGACCCATCTTCGCTCGTTAAAGCCCCACCGCACGAACATTGGGTTAAAGACAGGTAAGGGAGGACAGGTAAGCTTCAAATTCATTTCCAAACTTACGTTAAAAAATTTTCCTCCGTCACAGAAATCCAGAAATCTTCTGCTTCAATGTCAACCCATGACCTTTTTTACGTCTCTGGCAGCTATTGTCAAGAAAATGTTGCTCATTTAAGCCATTTTAAACCGAAGTCACTGATAGCAGATGGTGGTGTGTTCAATGTTAAATACTAAATAAGAATTTCCAAATTCGGACAGAATAGAAAAAAACGGCTCCAAAAAATACATCATATTGGCCAGTTTAGCAACATCAAACTAACTTTAGTTTGAGGTTATTAGTCCATTTTATTTGCGGTAGTATATATTCTAAGACGTTCCCAGTTCCGTATAGCTGTTCTATTTTATATCAAAGTTGGGAGAGGTATGCACCTATACTCTAAACTGGGAGTTCTGAGCCACTTTTATATAATGTCAAACTTTGGAGGCCCCAGACTAAAAAAAACGATTGTCAGTTTTTATTTTTTATTTTTTTTTGTTTCGCAGTCATTTGAAAAACTGTAGATGGACTGCAAATAAGAATATTTTTTCTGTATGGTTTCAATATCGTTTTTAAAGTTGCTGTGTGGCTAGTCCATTTGTGTAATCTTATCGACAGAAAGCTGAATTATGTACCAGAGGATCAAACATCTGTTTTTAAGAAATGAAAGAAAATAATAGTTTTAGCCACAGCTTTTGTGTGCATAAAATACTGGTATCAACATGAAATTGACACCAGACATCGATGGGCTCTTATTGAGATTTTTAGATCACTGGCACCATCTAGTGACTGGGAAAATAAATTAATCCTGTTCATTGAAAATATAAATAATAAGATGTATAATACTTTTAATTATTTTTTATACTTTGGTTGATTTAAAACAAAAACAACAATTTTTTGGGATTGAATCAGAGTCAAGCTTCTTAGCACCTAAAATAACTTGAGTTTCTCATTTCTACCCTCTGAATTATGTTTAATGGATGGGATTCTGATGGAAAAGTCAAGCTGCATGCATTAAACCAAGTTTTATGTGTGCACCAAACTTGTTTGACCTAATTGCAAGTACTGACCCAGTCCTACTTACTAAAAACAGAGCGACACGCCTGCTGGCACTCTCCAGCGTTAACTTACCATAAAAAATCTCAAACTTCTTTACCTTCAGTAATTAAAAAGATATCTCAACAGAACCCATACATTTGCCAAACCGTGTAAGAATTCAGTTTAAACCCAAAAGAGGAGTTTTTGTTTTGTTGAAGAAATACAGCATGAGCAATAACACAAATCCAACAACTACCCTTATTATCTTTTTTTCTTGATCAAAATGTGTATTTGATCAATAGATATGTTTTTAAAGTTAATAAAAAAATGTTGCATAACGTGCTCAACAACAGCAAACTGCATGGTCAATAATAAATGTATGTTGGTTCAGTAAATCTAAAGTTCACAACAGTAACATTTAGAGTGCATGCTAAAATGAGGAGAGCCGTCCATTGAGCTGAGTTTGTTGTGCTGTCAAACTGCTTTGTGCTCTGCTGAACATGCTTTTATGCCCTCTCAGTTAGTGAGGTTAAGCTGAAAATCAAAACCAGCTTTTGTGTTCCATTTAGCACAATTTTACTCCAGCAGCACCTCATTTTATCCACTATCAGAGTTGATATACTGCCTCTCTTTTATAACCATGAAAGGGAATTACCAGACAGCAGGCCAATTATATATATTATGTAACTCCAGTGGCAGCAGCAATGATATTAAAACTAACACAAAACAAAAGTCTAAGGGTGTTTTAATTTTTTTAAACTTATCTCCTCTTTTGGACCATGTTAGCCACTGTAGACATGCAGGCTTTCTACAACCATCCCAAATGACAAATTAGCCAAATGTTTTTCTTGACAGGCTCGTTCGAAGTGGGAACAGTTTTTGGGAGGGTTGCCATCCAAACAGAAGTATTTCAAGTCATGCATGGCTTGTAGAAGACTTGCTAAATCCCAATTTTCAGTGGACATCTGTAATTATGCTCTGTCTCTGTGATGTAATTATAGAGACAGTAAACCATTTGTGATTTAATCATTCAGCTTTAAATGCTAAGAACTAAGATTCTAGTGTTTTCCACTCAGGTCATGTTACACAACACTTACTGATGACTGCCTGTAGACAGGCGAGGCTAAAATAAGAGGGAATGCAAACACTGTTTCACAGCAGCCATACGGAAAGGCTGACCTCACTTTGCTTTTTGTTTATGGAGTTTGTGTGAAAGTGACCAGTGTTGACTACCACAAAGAAGACACACAAATGAGAAAATTAAACATCTAATAATCCTTCAACTACTAATTTCCATCCTTAATTATGAGCCAATGCTCAAATGCTCACTGAGTAATTCAATCTATTAAAAATATATGTTAGATTGTGTGACACATGTCCAAAAATTGACCTTTGAATAAAACAATCTCTAAACCTCCTCTGAAATCCACCTCCGCAGCGCCAGCAAGGAGCACTAAGTTCTGTCATGAACCCATTGACACCATAACCTGCAGTTGCACCCACTCTCACTAGATGGTGACATCCCACTTTAAAACCTTCCGAAGAAGTAAGCTGGGTCACCAAGGGAGACAAGAAAAAAAAAAATCTCAAATTACGTTAGGGAGCATCTGAGTTTGGCTTTTCAAAACAGCAGAATGGAGGGCAAGCACTTCAAAGTTTCCAGTTCAGCTCCACTGGGCAAGGGCATCCGAGTGTGACAGTGGACTCCCTGATGACAGATGGAGTTGGAGCAATGAAGACAAGCAGATGTTTAGGGACCCTGATCAGATCAGCAGTACAGATCCGACCCCCCCACCCACCCATCACTCCTTCAAAAGTAGCAAAAGCACACAGAGATGCAGAGAGAAAGGCCAATAGCAGACAGCAAGTGTAAAAGAAGTAAAGGAGTGAGTGAAACTGCAAAAAAAGAAAAAGGAGAACATTGCAGAAAAAACATTTAAAGAAGCCAGAGAGGGGAGGGAGTGTCAGAGAAAGTGAGAGTGAGCAAAACAGTGGGGAGCAGAAGAGTGGGGAGAAAGGAAAGAGAAAGAACTCAGATAGGGGGAGGGAGAGTGTTTTTATCCTCATGTGCACTCAGTCAGAGGGGTCATTGGGTGCGATTGTTCCTGGTCTGTCTGTCAAAACAGTGCGGCGACCACAGCGCCGATTCATCTCCGCCTCACTCTGAAATGCGTGCGCACGCAAACGCATACGAGCACACTCACACAGGCATGATCAATTGCATAAGAAGCCCCAAAAAGCTTTTGATCTCTTTAAAACCTTAGCAACAACCTAAATACAGCATCAACAGTGTCTTTAAAGACCTGCGTCACAGCACCACCATCATCCCCTGTGCTGAGTCTGAGCTGGGTCGTAAACCTGCACAGGCAAGTGGATAACTACTAACAAGTGTGGATGTGCGGGGCTACCTGTGCCAGGAAGTATGAGAAAGTCTGTCTTACCAGGTAAAGGAGGAAGGTGTGCAGGCCAGTGCCAAGACCCACAGAGGAGAGGATACCCAGGCCAACCCAGTAGGCACACCACAGTGTCTTCTTCTCCATGTAGCGTACATACTGAGGAGGCCAGAGAGAGGGACGGTCAACCACATGGCAGAGACACATGCACAGAATGTGAGGAAAGCAAGAGGGGGAGGGTGGGGGGTATAGTGTGAGAAAGGGAGGGACAGATACAGACAGAAGGTACGAGAGAGTGAACGAGCGCAAAACAGAGGGCACTTTAAAGGGTAGAAGAGGAAGAGAGAAAGAGAAACCTTTTGAGAAAGAGGTTGTTGTTGAGTTTTGAGGACAGAGCTGTAGGGTAGGAGTGTTCAGCACACAGAGAAGAACAGCTCCATTATTCTTATTGGTGGCAACCAGCTCTTACACAACTAGTGGAGTAAGGCAAGCCAAGATCTGTCTATCTCTTTCTGTTGCTCTGCTGCGATCACTTCATCACTCCCCTCACACCTCCTCCCTGGAGCCCAGGCAGGTTGTTTTCTGGAGGAAGCATCTAGAGTGCAGATTACGGGAAAGAAGGGGGGGGGGACTGGGGGTTGGAGGGGATTTGGGAAGGGTGAGGGGTGGTGGTGGAAAGACTCCATTTCCCAGGAAACCCAGTAAAACAAAAACAGCACATTCTCCCTCTCTCTCTGCTGGCAGAGTGCTGGGAAGTGCACGGCTCGCCATGAGCAATTGTTACGTGTAGTTACTGAGAACTGATTACACAACTCCTCCGCGTCTGCATTTGTTTTGTTTTTGGTTTTTGGGGTTTTTACAGCAGAACTCAAACTACCACAGCCAAAACACGGAAAGTTGGAAAAACAAAGTGGCAGATCTATGGCACATTCTGCTGTAGTTCATAGGAAAGACTATTGAAGTTAAACCTGCATAAAACAGCTCTGTGGGAAGGTGATGATAACAAAAGTGTGCCCTGCCACAAGCACACGCACGTTGGAGCTTACAGAGTCCTTTCACAGAACCTTTGAGACAATCATTTCATTGTGAAACCACTCTTGTGTTACAATGACTTCTGTATAAATGATTAACTGGTTACATATATATATATATATATATATATGTGTGTGTGTGTGTGTGTTTTTTTTATCCACAGCCTGCTGTCGGTACAAACCCAAGATGGTCACTTCATCTCATAAGCCACAGATACACCATAAATGATGTTATATTCAGCAGTGCAGGACCACAAACGTCTGTCAAAGTGTGACCCATTTTAAAAGACACAGACTCTTTGACTAATATAACTGCAGGTCAGCTATGCAGGTTCCACCTAATAAGGCAGGCAAACCGAGTTATGTCACAGAGCCGTTGTGGTGTTTAAGTATGGTGTTATGTGCAGCTGCGTACAGTGGCCAGTCACCTTCTGGTGCGCTCCTTCAATACGATATGCAATTACGAAGAGGATGAGAAGGATCAGGAAGCCAACCACAGTCCGTCTTTGCTGCCAGAGTCTAGGTAAAAGAGGAGAAGAAAATAAAGATAAACAATATCATAAAGCGGCAGAGGAGGAAGGAATACAAAGAAAATGCTTGTTTGGGGTGGAGGAATGTGTAGGCAGAGACGAGTAATCTTGTGTGAATGAGTGAATAGAAAAAGATTTAATCTTTTTACCAAACAGACATCCTCTAAAGAAGTCAAGCCTTGACAAGTCCTACTCGCTTTTAAGAGCTGTTACCTGGTTAAAATACTGAATAAAAGTCTCTTAGTCGGATATCATTCGACAAATTCTGCTCATTCCTTGACCCCACCAACATTGAGGGGGAAATTAAATAGATTGTTTCAACATAATTTGCCATAAAACAAATTACAGCTACAGTTCAAAAGATGAGGTCAAACGAATATGAAATGAATATTCCTTCAGTATTGTTTCATCAATAATTTGTGGAATTGGAAAACAATGGATCATCACAACAAAGGGGAAAATCCACAAACACGAGCATTATACATTTAAGAGAGGACATGATCTGCTCTAAACTAACAAGCTAGCCATGGGGAGCGTTCTGCAAAGCAATGGCTGGTCTGCTATCTTTAGTATCTGATCTCCTTAATGAGGAGCTCACAATTGTGAGATGCAAATTCACAGAAACATCAGGCTGAGGTCACTTATGTGATGGCCGCTGTTTCAGATGACGTTATGGCTGCAGACCACAGCGCAGAACTTCACTTGTTAGGCAGGGAACCCAAAGGAATATAATGCAATTAGTACAATGGAGCAAAACAACAAGGTTTGTGCTGTTTGTCCACAAAAGTAAATACATTTTCACTAAACAAAATCTTTCCCAAAATCGCTCGACATAATTCTTATTCCAGCGCCATCTTTTATGTCAAACTTTATTGTTCACCAGTTGGAGTAAAAATGGGAGTCCAAGGGCTGATTTAATGTGTATACTTTACAAAGGTTTGACATAAGGATTTCATACAAAATTATGATGCTGACCATCCAAGAGAAACAAGCTGTGATGTTTCTCAGTTTGTTTCAGGATAACAAACGCTCTGCACAGCGTGTTTCCCTGAGGACAACCCGGTACATGTGCTCCAAATTAAGAACCACTTTTAAAAACGTTTAAGATAATCTCTGTTTACTTGTATATTGTAATGCGTTCTGGTGTATGCCAGTGCAGCCGTTAAATGCCATGTGTTTTGCGTGTGGGGTGGATAGCAGCTTCTCTCAGTCAGAACACTGCTCGTGGTGCCTGCGGCTCACCACATCCTCTTGTAGTTTGAGAGTAAACACGTTGTCCTGACACACATAACCACAAAGGCCCCCATGAGAGCACACTCTGACCTTCTTTTCGGGCATTGGTGTCAACAAAGATTATTTAGTGAGCTGAAGACATATTGTACTGCACGTGGAATGTGCTATCAAGGCAAGCTCTGACGTACTCCGGTCTGATGCTGCTGCTCTGTGGCCGACTTTAACATCTGTTTATGAAGGGGAGAGACCTTTACTGATACACGAGTACTGTAGGGATGAGGGTTTATGAAGAAAAACATCACAGGGAAATTCTGTTACGTCTCCAGTGCTGCATTCAAGGCATGTGACCCAAGACTAAACCACCAGAGTGAAAGCCTGATGGCTTGATAGCACTGAGAAAACCAAGGTCAGCTCCTGTCTAATGGTGTTTATGTCTTTTTCTATGAAGAATAGTGGGATCTATCTATCTATCTATCTATCTATCTATCTATCTATCTATCTATC